CCCCAACTAAAACAAGGCTGGGCTTTTGCAGTCCTTCCCGATGCCTCTCCAGTGCGAGGCTGCCATGCGCACAGATGCTTTGCAGGCTGCTCCAGCAAGACGTGGTTTATACCTCCTTTGGGCCATTACATGCTGGAGAAAAGTATGCGGTGCCGAGCAGGGAAGCCTGCGAGCATTACTCACTGCTCTGGACTCCTGCAAGCAGGGGGGAGTCCAGGATGTTTCCTCTCAGGGACGCCAGGGACTGGAAAGGAGGCATTTTTTAACTGCAGCCTCTCCGTTAGTGTGTTTTGGAGGACTCAGTTCCTCCCCTTGCTGTTTGACAGAGCCGGGGAAATGCTGACATTGGCCACGGGATTGGCTGTAGAGGGTCACAGAAGAGAGTATTTAGTTGTGTCCTGGCTCTTCAAGCCACCAGCAGTGGGGTCTTTAAGGTAGGAGTCAAAGAAGACGTGTCGGGAATAAGCAGGCCCCTGGCTACCTCCTCCTCCTCTGGCAAAGAGGTTTAGACACCTCCTGAGCCAGGGGTTGTGCGGGGATCAGGGGTTAAAATGGCCACCAATAGGCCAGTCCCCCCAGATGGGCCAGGCTGAGCGGGTCTGGTTCAGTGGCTGTGTGGTACCAGCATTTCCCAGGCTTGCAGAGATGTCAGGACCATCTCCCTCCACAGCCTTTGAGATGAATAGATCGTTACAAGCCAGGCAGCCCTTCCTCACTGCCCTTCAGTGGCACAGGGGCAGATGGCTCAGCTGGGAGCTGAGCAAACACAGTTCACGCCCCTTCTTTGCTGAGAGCTCCCAACTTTTGCTCCTGCTGGAGACAGTCACCTGCAGTTCACTTGCAATTAGCTGGTGAACTGGAAAGTCACCTCGCTGAGCCGCTTATGGAATCAAGCCACTGCCAAGAATTAGTGATGTCCTTGGCAAAGGAGACTGTTGCAGTTCTTGGGACTTAGCCCTGAAGGGCCTCCTTGTTCAGTGGTCTCCTAGCCTTGCGAGGGAGCACTTTTCCATGACCTGGCAGCCTGCTGCATTGCAGAGAAATGCTCCCTCATCAGTGGGGTCCGTTTTGCTCTTTAGAGGGTGTGTGCTGCTTCAGGAAAGGTGCAAGCTGGCTGCATGCAAATGGCCTGGGAAGTCCTGTGGCATTCAAAGAGAATTGCCTCCTTGTGGAAGTCCTCTCCAAGCATGCAAAGCATCAGCTTAAAAACGGGCTGAGGTGTCAGTTCACAGATGGGACTGTGGGCATCATCTGGGCTAGGAGGAGAAGTCCTGGTCTTTGAAGTCGGTCTCTGCAGAGGGATTACTGACCTGCAGCCTGCCCTGACTTGCATTATATCCATCTGTAATCTGCTTTAGTAGGCCTTACTGTATTAGGCTGTATCAAGTACTCAAAATCACTTGCAGCGGTAGAGAGACCAGTGTTCCTAAGCATACCAAGTGCTCTAGCCACTGTAATCCAGCTGGGCTTTAGTTATATTGATAAAAAGATGAGATGTCTGGGCTGTATCAGTGCTAAGAAGAATCAGTGGAGAGAAATGACCCAAGGGTTTCCAGGTCAGTCTGGCCATGAACAATAAAGAGATGTTGCCTTACGCAAACTGACTTGATACTATCACTAGATTTATTTGTTTGCCCTCCTGGATTGGGATAGCATGGTATGTGCTTGCCTTCTTTGGGACAAAAACAGCTGTGTATTAGTCATAAGATAATCAAATCTGCTCTGAGATGGCCCAGGTTGGAACTGAACCTACCTTCTTGTGGAGGTTCTCATGAATTTCATGGGGTGTGTCAGCATTCGGTTTGGCAGTTTGTTCCTTCTTCCCTTACGGTCTATCTGATGTCCTACTGCCATCCTGTATCAAACCTCTGTGTCTTATCTATAGTGCCACATGGCTTATTTGCTTGGTGGCTTGTGAGTCTGAGTGCAGCTCCTCTTTGGAACAGCTGTGAGCCTAGTTTCTCCTGGGAAGGTTCTTTAACCTATCTGGGTTCCCAGCTCATACTTGGAGTTAGCAACTGCTGCGTGGTCCACACATGTCCCAGGGCTGGGGGGAACCTGCAGTTGGTCCTAACACAGGCTGCACCAGCCAACGCGCTCTCGTTGCGACATGCAGGTATCGGCCAAGTATTTGAGCACCGTGGCCATCGCTGGCCCCGTTTTGGCCATCTTTGCGTCTCTAATTTGTATTGCTCCTAGGAGGCTCAGCCCAGAGTCTGGGCAGGGCTTTTACTCTGCTTATTGGCCCTGCTGTTGATTTTATGTACATTTGCATTGGAAATTCAAGTCTTCTCCAGCCTGGTCTCTGCTTTCCCTGATGACTGCAAATGTGGTAGGTTGGTAGATTTTCCAGATGTCAAACAAGTCAGTCCTGAATGAAGAGCCTCTGGATTTAATTTGTCATTACCTTCTATTTAATTCAAACATGTAACAAATACAGCAGGGGCAGATGCTTTTACTGAGGCTCTCCCTCAGCTAAGGGCTCAGAGGGGTTTTTCTCTATATTTCCAGATCCTTCTCACAGGCCCAGAAACAAAATAGGTAACTCAAGACTTGAGGCACTCGATATTTCTAAGCTAGAAACCCACCCCACCCCTAATCTTTGAGTCCTCATTCATGGCCTTAAAATAGCAACAATCAAGCAGGAAGAAAGCAGCAGCCTATTCATCTTCCTTTGGGGGTCATCTTTAAAGAGCACTTTTTATGAATAATGAAATTCCCACAGAGTACGTGTAACTCTAGAAATTCCAGCACTCTAGCCCTGCCTGTACTTGAGATTTGGGATCAGGAGCTAATGATAGCAATGCCAAGCCAGCTGCACCCACAGGAGGTTGCTATTTGCCATGGCTGAGCTCACCGCAGCTCTTGAAGAGTTCTGCAAGGTCCTCCATGCACCAGCGAAGCTAAGGATTACACCTCACACCTGTGGCCAAAAGCTAATTCAGCCTAGTTAGAGCCCAGATTTACGATCATTACCTGGGACAGCAGTGAACGTGAGGCCAACTGGTTTATATTTTGGGTCTTCCAGCTGGGGTGGGTGCACTGGAGGGAAGCGGAAGGACACTGAGGAACCCATGCCCTCCTTGTTAGTGCTAACCAATTTAGGGCCCACGCGTGTCACATCTCCTACATCCCAGCTCCTCCCAGGCTAGGAGACCACCAAGGACAGCGAGAGGATTATTTTTTTCTGAACGCCTCCAGCGCTGCCTGCGTCGCTCTGCCGGGTGAGTCAGCGCTGCGCCCGGTTTCCTGACGCGCCTCAAAGGCCGCATTTAATGTTCTCGGAGCTGACTCAGGGCGGCTTCGCGGGGTGCCGGGTGCTTGTGATCGGGGTAAGAACCGGCCCGCC